GTTGTTGTTGAGCTTTTTATTTATTTTATTTGTGTCCTTTTGTTTATTTACTTATTTATTTATATTTATTATTTACTTATCTATTTATTTATTATTTATTTATAGCATGCATTTTCATTTAAATGTTTTTTACTTGTATTTATACTCTGTTTTATTTCTTTTCTTTTTCATTTTCTCTTATTTTCTTTTATTTATTTTCTTTGTCTCTTTATTTTTATTTCACTTTGTTATTATTTTTTGTTTCATTTTATTATTCTACTTTATTTTGTTTCAATTTACTTTTATTTTATTTTATTTTATTTTACCCCAGTGTTTCATTTCAATTTAATTCAATTTAATTTATTTTATTTTTTAATTTAATTTAATTTTATTGTTTTTTTTTGTTTTTATTTTTCTGCGAAGACACCGTGGCTCCAGTGTACGTACACCTGAAATCCCTTCCACATGCTCGTTTCATTTCAAGTGTACCTTTTTGTTTCTTTTTTTCATCATTTTTGTTTCTTTTCTCTTTATTTTTTTTAAATTATTCCCTTTTTGTTCTAATTGTTTATCTCTTTTATCTCTTTTAATTGTCCCTTTTGTCTCTCTTTTTACCCCTTTTTGTCGCTTTTATTTATCTTTCATTTTAATTTTTAAATTTCGTTTTTTGTCTTTTCAGGATGTCTTCATGCATGTCCACTATCTCCCCAATGTCCCTCCACCCTCTTTCAATCTAAACCCTTCGGGGGCCCCCCTGGGGGCCCCCCACGAGGACCCTCTGGGGGCCCCCCAGGGGGCCCCCCATGAGTACCCTTTAGGGGGCCCCCTGGGGGCCCCCCAGGAGGACCTTGCGGGGGCCCCCCAAGGGCACCCCCACAAGGACCCTCTAGAGGGCCTCCAGGAGGACCCTTCGGGGGCCCCCCAGGGGGCCCCCCAGGGGGGCTCCCAAGGGGACCCCCAGGGGGGCCCCCAGGGGGCCCCCCGGGGGGCCCCCGCGTTGGGTTTACTCGATAGTTATAGGGCACGTTTGGGTCTTTTTCCTCCCCAGGGGCCCCCCGGAGGAGACATATCTTATTGGGGCAAAATACCTTTAGGGAAGCTGATGGCTGCTGCTGCTGCTGCTGCTGCTGATGGGGCCAAAGGCGACAGCTGCTCCCCCAGCGCAGCAGCAGCAGCAGCGGAGGGAGCAGCAGCGGCCGACGGGAGCGCCCCCACAGCAGCAGCAGCAGCAGCAGAAGCAAGCAGCTGCCGCGCCCCCGCTGCCGCTGCTGCTGCTGCTGCTCCTGCTGCAGTGGAAGTGTGGCGGCTGCTGTCGCAGGAGTACACTTACGACTGGTGGGCGCGTGCTGCAGAGACTGAGGTGTACGTACACCTCAACAGGCAATTCACGAATTCCGAAAGTCTCCATTTGCTGCTGACGGTCACGCTGGTGCCGCACGACGCCTACGACGGCAACAGACACGAGGCACGCTGCTGCGGCTGCTGCTGCTGCTGCTGCTGCTGCTGCTGCTCCTGCTGCTCCTGCTCCTGCTGCTGCTGCTGCTCCTGCTGCTGCTGCTGCTGCTGCATTCACTGCTTCGACTGCTGTGATGCTCTTTCTCGGGGCGTCTGCTTGGATTGCCAAGCCATTCGCCCGCACGCGTTGGTGCTGCTGCTGCTGCTGCTGCTGCTGCAGATGACGGAAGAGGAGGTAGCAGCAGCAGCAGCAGCTTTGCCAGTGGAGCGCCTCATTCAACGTTCTGCTTCTTTAGTGACAAAAATGAGAAGAATAAAACCCGAGGAGACAACTTACTCGCTGCTGGAAGGAGACAGCAGCAGCAGCAGCAGCGAAGACTCAGTACGCACTTTCTAATGCTCCTTTTGTCTCCTTTTTAATTTACATTTGTTTCTTTCTTTTATTCTTTTCATTCGTTTTATTATTTTTATCCTTTTTTATTCTTTCCCCTTTTTATTCTCTTGTTCTTTATTTATTTTTTTCCATTTTTGGTATTTCATCTTCTTTCGTTTTATTCCATTTTATTTCGTTTAATTTAATTTAATCAATTTAATTAGTTTAATTTATTTTCATATGTTTGCTTAATTTAATTTACTTTAATTTAACTCAATCTAATGTTTTTAATTTAATAATTTAATTTAATTGATTTAATTATTCAATTTATTTAATTATTTAATTTAATTTAACAATTCAATTTATTATTATTTATTTAATTTAATTTAATTATTTAATTTACTTAATTAATTTAATTAATTTAATTAATTTAATTTAATTTAATTAATTTGATTATTTAATTAAATTAATTAAATTAAATTGAATTAATTTAAATAATTTAAAT